ATAGAATGCGAGGGCGTTTGTGTCAGAGAAGGGACCGAATTTTCCCTAAAACAACGTTAGATCGTAGAACAGCGTATTATTTTAATTGTGTGTAAGTAGTATACGATTAACAGTTTTAAGGTTTTCATAGAGACAATATTGTATTATTACAGTTTGACTACTGAACCAATCATATCTCATAAGTTTTTGCTCTTCAGATGTGCAGTATATTTTAACACAATATTTATACAGTACGGTAATCGTAATTATTTACTGACAAGCTCTTTGCCACAGCAAAGAAGACGGTCTATCTAATAGAGAGACGTTGCCGCTAACACCACGGGGAACTCACTGGTGCGTTACCTATTATTATTAATATTATACTAGTTTACTACTTATGTATACAGAGATTGGTTGCTTGAACGACTCGTACAGTCAATCAAAAACCGCGCAATACCATCTTAACAGCTCTTCTAGAAACACCAAAGCGCGGCGTTGTTGCATCAAGTAACACAAATCACTTTCGTGTCTCAATCCTAGAGGTAAACAAAATGAGTATTATTGAGTGCATATACTCATACTAAGATATATTATTCTTTAAAATTATTTATTCCCGAAGTAAATATAGCAATTAAATACATACATACAAACTTCGATGTAAAAATAAAAAGTGGGTGCATAGCATGCATACTCTTCTTTGACTGCAAATACTTCTTTGTCTAATAAAATATTAGTAATTGGCCAGACCAGAAGCTCCCAGCGACATATTTTATAGCACTATTTCCCACCCAAATTGTGCAACCAAACAAATCAGTTCTATTTTATGTCCGATTGTTTTGGTTTAAGATATGGGGTATGTATACTATGCAGTGCTTAGCTCTATCAAAGAATAGAAGCCGATCTCCGATTTTTTGAATGTAGCTAATCAAGCTTGTATCTGTAAGTTAATGCTGCGTTGTAGCATAGGTTGTATGCCTTCATTAGCCAGTTAATTCGTTAACACATTATAATAGTTCCGATTAGGGCTATCGATACAGTCTACCAAATGTTAGCGACTTGTTTAACTTACGGCTCCATAATAAAACTTATGGCCTACATAATAATCTGTTTCACAGTCCCTCACGTTTACGAGCTTCTTATTGCGATTTTATTGTCATAAATATCTGTGATCGGATTGTTGACTTTGACGACACCAGAGTTGTTTCAGCCCAAAAAAATGAAGTCGGTTAAAAAAAGAGTTTTAGTTTGTCACAGATCGTCAAAAATTATATCCTATTTATGTTATTCTGGGTTACAAACATTGATAATACTATAAAGTTTCATCAAAATCCGTTCAGTAGTTTTTGCGTGAGAGAGTAACAAACATCCAGACTTCCAAACTTTCGCATTTATAATATTAGTAGAAAAGTAGAATATTAGTAGGATAGGATGTGAACAGAATCAATAACAATATTAAAAGTTTTAAATGCTTCTCAACATTGACCTATACATATTTAATCTTCCCGAAACAGTGATAGTAGAGTTTAATATTTTTTGCGCGTACGTGACATTTAAAAAAGGTTTTTACGCTAATTTCTTGTTATTATTACACAAGTCAAGTCTATTAGCCCTTTATTTCTTATAGTATTTCAATCAGCGTCCACGTGCCATATTGCGTGTGTGAAGACGTGCAATAGAAGACCATTTAGCTTCGTTTCTCGAACACGTAAACTATTTGCCGATCTGAGCCTGCCGTGCTGTAGGTATTGCGGCGAGTTAATTTTGAAAGATGGCGGCCAAACGCACTCTCCGTGTGTCGCAATAGTGTGCATTCGTGCAACTATACAATACTACTGAGATAGCAGTGGCTGCTGGGTTTCACTATCCATGATAATACATCCCGTTTTTGGATGATATAGTTATAGCAGGTAGGTACTAGCCTAGCACAAAGATTTTGTAAATAACAAAACATGGGTGTTATTGGGCTAATATTTTTGTTGAAAACCCCAGCAAATAAGTATTCGGTATTTGGGCAATAAAAAAGTATCAAGGATTGACTCAAATTTAATAATGATTGATTTCATAATTATATCAATCTTTTAGAATCAGATAATAAATATAGATAACGACCTTCTATTAAAAATGATAATGTAACATAATAGGTAATGAATTCTATTTCCCTTCAAAGGGTGAAATGAAACCTGGCTCCCTCCATAGCAAGTGTACAGAGCCTCACAGTCATCAATTATGTATTATATTTGTAGACTGTCATGTCTACTGTCTTCAAATACATAGTACAAGACTGTCATTAGTACTAACAAGGACGACAAATTAGAAGCCTTACTTAAATAAATATTCATATGAGGACTGGAGCAAACTCCTTGCATTTGTTTGCTAAGTTTCATTTTACTACATGCCATAAAAATGCTTTGTATAAAAAAAGGAATTTATGTCCAAGCCTTATAAAAAAATGAAAAATAAATGTACATCATTTTATTTTTTTTAAATCCCAAAGGCCAGAAATAAATAGATCCCAAGTTATCAGCAACCCAATACTGTTGGGTAAAATGTTGATCAAAAGCAAGACGTATCATCATGAAACCAATGATGGAACAGCAGCATAAAATACCTAAGGATGTCAAGGGCAACCTTAGGATGTGGAGTTACATGAAGCGTGAAGACAGTGGCAGTCACTAAGGACAAACAAATTCAAAACTTCAAAAACAAATTCAACTTGAATACCTTTTACCTAAATAAATATCAACATTTTGTTGTAAGTCAGTTGGATATACACGGAAATATCTACTTGGCACTGTGCCTACAATCACCTATCAACCTTTGTGCCTATGAATCATTTCTATGTTTACATTACTTATTAGAATTCAGGCAGATCCGTCTGAAGTGGCAAGTTCATAAATTGTATGAAAACAGGGTCAATGTTCCCTGTTGTAAGACATTTGCGGTACATATTTGAAGATTAAAGCTATAAAGCCCCCATGCTTGTTACTGCTGAGACACTGTTTGGAAACCAAACATTCATTGATAAACTGTTGATGATAAATAAATTGATGATTAAGAAGTCCATTTTAAAAAAAGCAGCAAATAAATGAAAACATTCAAAAGCATTAAAACACTTTCAGCATATATTGGTCACTGAATAGAAATGATAGCTCGTAAAAAACTAATAATAAACACAAATTGACACAAAACTTTACAAAGATTATATTAATGCAGTAAGTAAAAGGTATTAGGTATGTGAACATGGTAATACAATAACAAAAAATATCTACAAAAAATGCTGCAATTGGAGAACTTTGTAAATTGCAATAAATTACTTTGGAATTAAAAAGTTAAAGGTTTTTTAATATAATTATGTCATGTATGTGCTACAATTAATATTAAAAACAAAAATTGTCCTGAGTGCGCTCAATAAGACACTCACAGATTCCAATAGGCCTTGGATATTACAATAATTTTCCCCGTAGGTAAGTACACTGCGGCACTAGGGGGATATAACCAATATACTATAGGTATATATGTAATTAAGTACTTCACTAGGTACCTTGTTAAAGTTTGCAATAGTTAACCACATAATTAATTGTTAAAACATTATATTAAAGGTCTTCTAAAATACCTGTTTTATTGTTTAACTACAACATTTAGCATGCCACAAATTCATTATTCTGATGTTTGAAAAACAATGGAACTTACCAAACTTAAAATTAGCATAGTATGTAAATGTCTCCAACTATGCATGTTACACAACACTCATACTATAAATTATAATAGTATCCTGGAATACCAAGTAAATATTCAATTATTTGTTTAGTACTTACTATTTTTTTATGCTTGATTTATCATTAATGGCAAGAATGATAATAATGTAATAGCATTTGAAATGTGACAAGGACAAACAATATCACCTGATCATGAGGCCGTCTGTGTTCACATGGATCTCAGTCACCACCACCAGATCACCTTCACTCCGCGAGACACACTATCACATCCAATGCTAATCACCACAGTCTTATGAACAATAACCACTTGTGATTGCAGCCGAGACAACAAACCTCACACACACACCATCCCGACTCACAGCTACTGTCACTGAGTCCACACAACAGTTTATTGCACACACTGAACACTAAAAATCTACACACAGTCCTCTTGGAATGCTTCTTCTCACTATTACAACCTCCTGTCCACTTAGATACAGCTCCTGTGCCTCAAATCACAACCTAACCTCAAAATTAACACACTAAAATGAACAATTGACAATCACAGATGTTTTGAATCCACTATTTACAACATGACATCACCCCTACACTAGTGTCGTACGAAATTTCACAAAGAACGCGAGAGCTGGCCGTGTGAGGCCATCAGTATGGATTTGTGGGCAAAATGCTTTGTTTGAGTAGGTAGGTACTCGCAGCCTTCACTGCACGTAGCTATACATAGGTAGGCGCGTATGTTAGGTATGTGTAGTGCATTGCATGGCGTATATGCACCTAGCCATAATTCACTCGGGCGTTTCGTGAGCGCCACGGCGAGCCCGAGGACGGAGCCCGCGCCTCTCGCGCCGCCCCTGAGACAAAGGACAGCGCGACAGGTTTCGTGCGCTCCGCAAAAACTGTAAACACGATTGTGATTTACGACCCCGGCCGTGCTGTCCGAGTCATTCATACAGGGGACGGGAGGCACCGCGGCGTGACTGGTGCGGGCTCGGGCTGCGAGCGGAGGCGGTCACGCTCGGCCGCCGCGCCGCCAGATCGCTATCGACGGCGGCGCCCTGCCCGCGGTGCCGCGACGTCGCTGTGTCCTCGCCTCGCTCGCGCTCGCGGACGATGCGACCGTTTCGAAATGGCGCAACGCGACGGGGGCCGTGACGCTGCACGAGCGAGAGAATGTTCGCCTGAGCGAGAACCGAGCGGACGGGACGTTTCGCAACATCAGACGGGCTCACAGGGACCGAAATAATCCTGCGACGTAAGACCGCGGGCGGAGCGCCGCTCGCAAGCGGAACAGGAGGACGCGATACTCACGGCCTGGCCGCTCGCAGCGGGTCAGCAGCGCCGGCGTCCATGGCGCGCCCAGGCCCTGGCCGCGGCCGGGCTCCGGGCCGTCGGCCGAGCGACGCAACACTCTCTCCGATCTCACTCAAAACGCGACGAGGAACACCGTCGCACCATCTCGACGACACTGCACATCGACCGCGGCGCTTCTATTCGCGTATAAACACTTCGCGAACGGTGTTTTGTTACATCGGTTGACTTTTCTTTGAAAAATCAATATACATTTTCCCAGAGTTTAGAGATACGGACGAGTCGATGTCCAGCGCAGGTTAGGTGCGTGAAGTTTGCAAGCTTTTTTAGCGCACCGGTGTTACCAACATTTTTTTGCCCATTTTTTGTTTTGGGTGTTGTGATTTTTTTTACTGATTTGTGATGCACTTCAGACCGGTCTACGCTGGGTTGGGTCTCTCACAATACTCTCATGCGCGCACAGTGGCGCCAAAGTTTAACTCGCTGGCGTCATTCATACAAATGACAATTAATTAAAGTAATGGTGTTGTTCATGTGTATTTGTTATTTTTAATGCAACTAATTCCATTATTAATTTTTAGAAGATCTACATTTGTATATTAGCTATGTGGTTTGTTAAAATAAAACACAAACGGTATGACAATAATATCGAGAGATTTTTTTTTATTTCATTAATTTTTATTAATATTGGCAACGTAAAATAAATAATCTTACTCGTATAATAATTATGTAATTGTAAACCTAGACTAACACAGTACTTAAGTATGTAAATCGCCTCGTCTGCGTTGACTGTGCGTTTCGGGGTTAAGTTGGAGGAGTTGAATCTCACTTTAAGCATAAAAAGTGAAGAGATCACACCTCCACTTAATCCTTCACGCGTGATTTTCTTGATGTCTTCGTTCATTTGGCTTGATTGAAGGAGCTTCTGAAACACGTAACGAAGCGGCTCCACGTGTGAGCTGGAAAGATAGATCTGGCAGCATTCAACATTAAACTGTCAAGATCCCCTGTCCAACTCAGACGTGAAACCTTGGGTGATGTACTCGTAGTATCGCCATGTTCTGAAAAATAAAAAAAACTGTTAATATTATCAAATTATGACCGAAGTGTGTTTGTTCTGTGTGACAATCGAAGTGCGCGCGCTCGAAGTGGAGTCACGCAGCTCGCTATCACCGCTCAAAAAGGTGCGGCTAACGTTCTCTGATAAGAACACCGCTTTTCCCTGTCGCGTCAACGATCCTACATGGTTCTGTAGCGAATGTACTAGCGATTTAATAATGGCATATTTAGAGGATAATTTAACGCACATGAGTCGCGCGACCTGCGAATCACATGAAACGAACAAACACATGTGCCATTGGACCACCATATGTTATTACGTAATCTTAATCGTTTTGTATTAACAGGGACACTCAGTTGCTTAACATTTGGACAATTAAAATAATTATTAAGTATCTATTATCATCGGCGAAGGTGCTTTATTGCCTCGAATCTTAATGCCACGTCAGCAATAGAACACTCCAGAAACAGTCGCTAATTCAAACGAGTTTTAGTTATGCGCATGAATGTAATGTACATAAACGGGAACGACACTGAAATCAACCGAAAAATTCAAATGAAACCTGTCTGTCCTGTTACCCTGATGAAAAGACGAAGACCAGAATCGAGCAAAAATTCACTAAAACACGCGTGTAGACGAAACAGTCAATCAGAATCACAGCTCACAGTTCGATAGAGACCCGATCGATTGATGGGCCCATATTTATACTTTCGATGATATCTCCAGATATCATATCAGAGAGACGCACGAGGTACAAAATGTCCACCATGATCGTGATAAGATTCGATGGAACGGGAAATCGATTGGTCCCCGCGGTGCGTATCAGTCGCGCAAACACTCCAGTCCACCAATCGGCAAGGCACCGGCGATAAGCGGCGCTGACGAGGCCAAGCAGCCGCGCTGATGTGGAGCCGCGCCCGGAGTCCCGGACCGCCGGGGCTGCCGCCTCCGCGCACCCATCTGCAGCCCGCGGCGCCGTCACAATCACTGCTTGCATTGTTTACACTTGAGATACACCTTTATTACGTTATATCTAATGTGACAGATAGATAACTCACAAAGTCGTATCTGGACACATTAGAAATTACTTATTCAAGATGAATCATGTGGGCTATGAATGCTAGGCTAGTAGAACTAATTCAAAACTCAGACTATCACAACATGAGTATGTTGCACTAATTATTTATAAACACTCGTTTAGAAACAGGAGAAACAGTTGTATGATTTCCGAAACTGCTTGACTTGAAGCAAATTATGCTGTAGTAGATGTAATGTAGGTACAGTAAAACGCGACTAGGATACGTGATACGTGGAAGAATTTCGACATGATAGATAAGGTGACAAAGACGCATATCAAACGGTGTCATTTGATAAGAGGCGAGGTGCGCGCTTACTGGAGCACTTATAGACAGGTGTAATACAAGCACTCGAAAACTTCAAACATTTACAGAATCGTCGTATTAATATTTCATTTTAAAGGACGAATAAATTGCGTAGCTTAATTGTCTTAATACAGTATTACCACAGGTATTACCTCTATTTTGTTTACCTACTTTGTTATTTCATTAATATTATCATCATTTCAGCCAAAGGACATCCACTGCTGGACAAAGGCCTCCCTTAAGGACTAAGTACTTTGTTACCTAATGTTAAGATATTTTGAGTAGTTAGTCTTTCACTAATATTTTGAGCCAAAAAAGGCCCTTAGTAGATATTAATAAATATAATCTAAACTTTTTTACAACCAAGAAATATTGAAGTGATTATTTGATAGAGACAAATCTAACTGAAAAATAATAACACCAGAGCAAACTAGAAGAATAAAAACGTTTATAAGGGAAAGAAAGCGTCGTCCGTCATCGCGACGCTGAAGTTTGGGCATTAAATGGAGTTGAGGGTAGCAAGAGGTAAGTTCGGGAGGGGGTCGGGCGCGCCAGGGGGCGGCGCGGTCGCCGACGGGCCGCGGCCGTGAACCGAAACTTCGGAACTTCTGCCGTATTGTGTTTACATTGAACTTTGTTATGTGGGTTAAAGTTAAGCCAGAGTTCAACGGCGTATGTGCGCCGTTTTACTCAATTGCAAAGTTGAATCTCAAGTTTGGAGTATCGATTTTCATCTCATGTTTATCAAATGTTTCAAGGTTGTTTCTGTCGATTGAACTTCGACACGTGTGGGTTTGTTGTCTGTTTCAATGCCAATATGTTATTACGAGAGCACCTAGGTGTAGTTCGTTGCTCAAATATTACAGGTTGTAGGTAAGTAGGCAGGTGCATAATACAATAATCGGTTTTGGAGGTACATAAATTATGCTGCAATGACCGGCACCAATAACACTGCCGTACCTTTGTAGAGCCAACATCATGGAAATTAATGCTTCATTCTTGAGCAAAATTAAACTTTTATTTTACAATTAGCTTTTTCCATTCATTATTTGAAAGTTTACGAATTTTTAGATGAATTTATGAATCTTGTTATAACAATAGCCTCAGGCTAGCGAATGTAATACCTATTTAGCACGCGTTTCGCAAGCCTGCGCGTGGGCAGACGGTGCCCTTCGCCCTCTCGTCTGCGTAAGAAGTCCTTCAACCAACTCTTCCTATAAGCGATCACACGTTCAACGAAGAGGTTGAAAATGCTACAATTTTGCTCTTATTAATAACAATATAGGTAATACCTAAGGTAAGAACTTAGAGTAGGTAGTTAGGTACCTAATATAATTTCAATTGACGCATCATAGCTTAAAAAGCAGGCTAGTGCGTCTTTAATGTAAGCTTGTGTCTTTATATCTATCTAAGCAGCCTTTGGGGTTCGTCTTCGAAAATAGGCCTCCTCTACAACCTTCCACCGACTTCGCTGTCCCTGGCCACTTGCATCCAGTTTATTCCAGCTTGTTGCTGGATGTAATCTGTCCATCTTTTAGACGGCCTTCCTCTGATCCGGATGTTATTGCGGGGTCTCTACACCAAGGTCTTTCTGGCCTAGCGATCGTGGTTCATCCGTGAAATGAGTCTTCTGCCCGTCTCCATTTACGGCTCTCAATCTCTTACACCACGTCGTGCAATGGAAAGACAGATGCTTGGCGTTTCTCTACAAGATCACAAGAGAAACGAATGGATCAGAGAAAAGACGGAAGAAGAGAAGTGGAAGAAATTGAGAGCCGCCGTTACCTTGTGTTGTAGAGTCCCATTTTATTTTGCCTACGTTATCTATTTTTTACTGCAAAGTTGAACTCTACTTCGTCACCGATATGAACAGGCCACACCTGAACCTATTTTGTTATCAAAAACTTGTTCCCGATAAATTTTCACACGACAAGTATTTTTCCTGCGCTTCGAAACTGTAACTAGGTGCGGAATGACCTTATTTTTTGGTAATCTCACTGACTGTTTTTAACATCGGATATCTGCGAAACAATATCCATATCTTAATCTCCTACTGATATCGACCAGAGAGTGATACTAGATTACCTACCTACTCATAATAATACCTCTCTATACGTATTTTGTATTATTCCAACTGAAATTTTCCAATTTTTTTAGTATAAAAAATCCTTTTAGCATACAAAGTAATATAGATCCAGCCAGGTAGGTAAGTAAGTATTGTCGTAGATATAATCTTTTATTTCTATTAATTAATAACCAACATAGCGCGGCTATTAGATTTTTTTAAAAGGTGTACAAAAAGAAAAAGTGGCAGTAACTGTTAAAGAAACCAAAAATAAAATCAGTGCTAGTAACAAATCACAAATAATCATCATCATTCTAGGCAAGACACCCTTTGACAAATAGGGCGACTGCATACGGTTAAACAAACACTAACTGCAAATAACATATAGGTAGGATGGAAGAAAGTCAGGAATAGATTGTATACTTTGGGGAAATGAACGTTAATGTTAGTTCAGTTACAATGGTACCTTGCCTTTATCTGGTTTTTTACACTTTATTTGCCGAGGCACGATAAAGATAAAGATAAGTGGCAGTCGACACTTATCGCGGCTATCGCGCGAAAAGTACTAGCTTTAGAAATTTCATATTTCTGCTGAAATCATAATAATAATTAGGTACTAGCCGATTTATGTACCTATATAGGTATATAGGTATTTGGAAAAAATATTATGTTTTAGCGTACCGAAAACTTTATTCGTTTCTCTCAACAATACTATTTCAGAATTCAGATGTTTCGGGTTGCATAAATACTCAACGCAATGCATAGGTATCTACTTACTTGATTAATGTATAAAAATTTTCTGTACATGTGTTTGTCACCAAACTCCTAAACGGCTGAACTGATTTGATTGAAATATTGTATGTATATTTTAATAACAATTGGTTCCTGGATGGTTTGAAAACACAATCGAACCCGGTAGGCGGCGCAGCAGTTGGTCGTGGTGTGTCAGCAGGGCAACGTCTCCTGGGTCAGCTTAATATTAATGTAGGTAAAATGGGTGAAGGTCCTAGAGTTTAAATAAATTCGCTTGTAAAATGACTGTAGGTAATTGCAGATTTGCATTTATTTAGGCAAGGCAATATAAATATAATAATAATGAAACACTTCAAGTCAACAGAAACTATGAGGAGACAATAATATCATATGAGTTTAATTGGTTTTGGCCTATACCCCAATCCTATGATTACACACTTCAGTGTGCTTCAGTGGTGGTTTTGTGCCAACCTGACATGTGGACGTTTGACCTGATTTTTTATAATATTGCATTTTAAGTACTATTATAATTAATATTTTAAAAACTTTTAAGACTACTTTTATTATACTTTTTAGGTATTTTGATAAAAGTTAATTGTATACACTATATTCAGGAAACTTTCAACAGATCAGGAACTAGAAAAATACTTATTATTTACTACTTTATAAAATAAGACGTACAAATCGTTCATAAATTAAAATGTGAGCCAAACAAATTGAAACTTTGTAGAAACACGTACATATCTCTTATCAATTCGTTCATAAAGTTCCAATGTTTTGAATATCTGCAATTCAGTGAAGTAAGTTAACTTCACAAACATTGTGTGTTCATTAATCAAAAGTTTGGCGCATCGCCTCTCCGCCTCATCTCCGCGTCCGCCCACCCGCTGCCCTTTCGTCGATATATCTCTACGTATCTAAATAGCTAAAATACTTTTTGGGTCTCAAATCAGACTCCAACTGATGTTGGCAACACTGACTGTGGAAGGTCAATATTTGACAAATGGCCGAGCTATAGCTGTCACTTTCTTTCACAAGGCGTAAACATCGAAGCATTTATGATAAATCACTTTTAAAATAATTATGGAGTCAATTTGTAGATTGTGTTGTTCTACAAAATTCGTAAACAATAATTTATTTGATGAGGAAAATGCTCTGTACCTGAAAATGGAATTATACTTGCCGTTTAAAGTAAATATGAGGTTATTTATTAATGGCATTTTGGTTTGTTATTTTAACCTAATTTAATGAGTGTTGTGGTGATTTCGGCAGGTGAAAAAAATGGACCGGCTGCCACAGAAGGTCTGTGATCGCTGCAGTTGCAAAGTGAACGATTTGTACCAGTTCTGTAACGAAGCAATTGAAGCCCAGGACAGGTTAGTTTTCCACACTTAATTACTCATTCCTGGACGCCAGTATTTAAGAAACGATAGCTTGCAGTAGCTGACGATCACCGTGTGCTCATGTTGCTCATTAGCTCATGATGCTGAAAGCTATTATAAAGTTCTTAACAAAACTATTTATTAATTTTTTTGTAACAAAATTTCCAGGTTACGAGAGATGATGCGGCATGTGGAGACAAACCTAAATGATTCAGTAGATCTCACACTTACTAAACAAGAAACTATTGCACCCTCACCTGCTGCCTGTAGTAGGCGAGAGCAGGGCACACAGACAGAACTGGCGACGGAACCCACACAATCATCAAATAAACCCAATGTAGAAGTTCAAATTAAAGTTGAACCAACATCATTGTCACCATCAGAGGTAAAATCAGAGAATAAAGAAGAAATGGAAGTTGAATCTAACAATCATTTTGATAATCCTGTTGATCTTCCTACTGACAATAGTGATGATAATGTTTCCCTTATATCACTGAAGAAAAAGAAACGAGGTCGCAAACCAAATGCTAATGGAGAGGCTAAACGAGGAAGAAAAAAGAAACCAAAAGATTGGGAGCAGCTAATAAACACTTTGCCCAATGATACTGCTGTCACAATGGTGGAGAAACCAACAGTACCAATACCTATGGATGTAATGAAGGAAGAGGTAGTCTTTGGCTACAAGGAGGAGGCCCCAGACCTTCTGGTGAAGCGAGAGCCCAATGAGGACATGTACCAGTGTTGCATTTGCTTCATGCAATGCTTTAACAGGAATGACATGTTACAACACTATAGGTATGCCCCATTTATTCTTTCAATTATTCTAGTGTGTGGGTGTTTTTGCCCTATTATTATTTTTTGAAAAAATAATAATTTCTCTTAATTGATTCACACCTAAGATTGTAAAAATATGCATGTAAGATTGTAATATACAACACAGTTATTTAATTCCTTTGTGGGGGTTGCTATGTGAGGCGTCTAGTTTCAAATCCCGCTAAAACGATTTTGATAAGATTTCGAGAAATTGAAAAAAACCGCTTATCCATATCCATGGCCTTAGGCAAAAAAAAAATGATACGAATTATTATTGTCATCTGGCAATACTAACAGTAATTGCTATTTATCTTTAAATTAAATATAATTTGAATTATAATGAAAACTATTTTCATTTTGGCGTATTTTGTTACGAACATTCGGTTTTAATGGGATTTGAAACGGACATGTTGTATTTTAGCGGGATTTGATAAGAGCAAATTATGAAGCAACCACGTTTTAAAAAAAATCTCCATACTGATTTCGCAGTCACGTGACCAAAATACCGTGCTACCATTGGTCAATCAACTTTTAGAGGGTTTTGAAAGAAACAGACGGCGTTTTAGCGGAGTTTGTAACACAAACCTAATTTTAAGTGCTACTTAAGTAGTCTTTTAGTGTATTTTGATCGAAAATGATTGAACAGTATGATGAGAAAATTGCAGTAGCATCATTTAGAGATATAAACAGAAATTAGTTGCAGGAGCGTTTTAGCGGGTTTTGAAACTAGACGACTCATGTAGTAATTTAGGTAAATTGGTGTTATTTTATTCATGACAATGTAAGAAGTTCATATACTATAATGTCTTAAATTCAATTTTTTTTTATAAGACTTGAACCTGGTTAATATTACTTAAAGTATGTGTACTAGATGATATGGTGTAAAATTTCTAAGGATATTTATTATCCACTCATTGGGGCAATCTATAGACAATTCTTGAACATGGTGTCCCAAGTCAGCGGCGAGCGCGACACGACCTGACGATACGTCGCACAATGCTGCAAGCAAGGGATGCCATGCTTGCTGCGCCTTACACTGAAGCTTTAACCACACCAACGCGTGCAGATCAAAGGTCAATGACAGGTCGCGCGACCCGTAATAGTTATTTTCCTATGATCGCGCCGTATCGTGCCGGCGTCACGTCGGCGATGGCGATCATAGGCCAGTGACAGGAAGCGCGACCTGTCATTGAAAAAAAGAAAGAAAGAAACATTTTTTGCCATGGACATCACAAAAGACAAAAGAGGTAAATAAAAAAAAAAGCAAATAAGACAGAGGTGACAAAACATACAATGGAAGAGAAAGTAAACTGAGCAGTGCCACCTCGTCGCACAGCGATCCCCATCAGTGGGACCCCACTCAGCATATGCCGTGGCCCCCGGTGAGGAAGGCCACGACGTTGGTTTTCATTATAATCATTATAATCATTTATTTATTGCTTCATAAGTGTACATAGGTGGTGATCTTAAACTTAGTCTCAACTTATGACCCTGTAAGGGTGTTGCAAATCTTGTATCGTAGGTACATTACTAAATATTCTACAATAGTTAGTAATAATTGTTAATATTGATAAATTATAAAATTAATTAGTTTACATAATTTTACATTACAATTAAAATACAATAATGTTTCTCCATACCTATTCATACATAATTTTCATCATCGCATCCTACTCAAATTATAGAACTCCTGAATACTATAAAGACATTTTGATATAATGCATTGGCCTATGCACGCGCAGTGATCGCCATCGCCGACGCGATCTGCACGCGTTGGAAGCTTTAGGCCCTTTTCACACGTCCCGGTTGCCGGCTAACCGGCGCCGGGTATCCGGTGGTGAAGTGTATGGGCATGGTACGTAGCTTTCACATGTTCTGGCGTAATTATTCCGGCATGCCCATACACTTCACCACCGGGTACCCGGCGCCGGTTAGCCAGCAACCGGAACATGTGAAAAGGGCCTTAGGACGCTGCGTAAGTCGATCCTCGTGAATGTCAATGGTGCCGTAAGTGAGTGTTAATGCTGGCGGTGTGTCGCAGGGAGCACGTGGACGCGTCGGAGGCGTGGGGCGCGCCGCCGCCCGCGCCGCCGCCGCCCGACCAGCAGCCGCTGCGCTGCGTGCGCTGCCGCAAGGTGCGTGTTCCAAGCTATACTCAACATAAATAAACCGCATCACAGAATAATAATAAGTACTACGTACAGAAGTTTTACTTCGCGAAGGTATTTAAAAAAATGTATGCTCAATGTCATTAACAATATGGTGTAATTTAGCCTGTCTCAATAGTCAAGCACCATTATTTTCTTCCATCATACACAAGAATACGCGTGCGTGAGTCAATGTTCGCTCGTAAGTGAGGCCTTGTCGAATAGTGTCCTGTAGGTGGGCCATCGTGCGTGTTTTGTTTTCGATGTAAACTCGCGGAGATGAACAGGCCTGACCGCATCGTCCGCGACGCGAACTTTAAAGATTTTCTTCTGACACACTCATGGTGCCCCAACAATATTGGTGTTATTTGAAAGCCCAATAAATATCCTTAAAGAAAAACACATTTAATTTCTTGATAAATGATTAACATATACCATAAATGTGACTTGAAAAAATACCTCACTTTGGGATGTGGGGATGCATACGTTTGGAAGTACTTGTCGCGGGAGGTGCGGTTTATTTGATGCCGAGTGTATATTGAACCATATCAAACCATTTTACCATAGAAATAAATGTTATTTTATCTGAAAGGATATGTCACACGATTTTATGGGGCTTTTTTGCAAGAAGCGAATACATATTGCGGGCACGCAGAATAGCCCAGGGCGTCGCTGGTATCAATGTTCACACAGCTTTGGTACTAACATACCTATTCTGCTAGCAGTTGGGTTATCCATTTTGCCTTGGTAATAATGACCTACATTCATTAGCACTAATGCTAATAGCCAAAGCCTGGTCTCTGAGCACGTAGAATTTTGTCCAATGACCCCAAGCTACCCATCCTTATCGCTCGCGCGTAATTATGTTGCTGTCGCCCTCGCACACTCACTGCGGGCGCCCGTCGCACAGTCGCGACAGCAATATAATTACGCGCGAGCGATAAGGATGGGTAGCTTGGGGTCATTGGACAAAATTCTACGTGCTCAGAGACCAGACTATAGGTCTTTTTGTCATAACGCGTGTACAATTCGTGGCCGCAGGTGGTGGAGCCGGCGGAGTGGGCGGCGCACTGGCAGCGGCACTGGGAGCGCGACCGCCGGCCCTACACGTGCGCGCTCTGCGAGAAGACCTTCCGCGACCCGCACCAGATCCTCAAGCACGGTAACACTCGCACCCGATCCTCAATTCGGTTTCACTTGCATACTTTTGTTGGTGATTGTGAACTTTTATACTATTTATACTATGTCGTTGTGTTGCAGGTCAGACGCACAAGTCGGGCGAGGCGCTGGCCAACACGCAGGAGCTCACCAAGCGGTTCGTGTGCGACCTGTGTCCCGAGAGCTTCGTCTACATGAGGTTGGTGACACGTGACACTAGCGCCGCCTAGCGGGAGCGAAAGCGGAGCTGCCTTTGAACCAGGGATGTTATGGATATCCGTAACCGTAACCGAAACTTTCGGATATCCGAAATAAAAAAAAAATCCGTAACCGTAATCGAAACCGGTATAATATTATTCCTATATCCGTAACCGTATCCATAACCGAAACTACATATCCATAACATCCCTACTTTGAACAGTCATCGTATTTTGCTGGCTGATGCTCCCGTTTAAAGTTAAAGTAGAAACTAAAGAGTTATTTATCCTATCCTACTTCCCAACTAATATTATAAATGCGAAAGTAACTCTGTCTGTCTGTCTGTCTGTCTGTCTGTCTGTCTGTATGTCTGTCTGTCTGTCTGTCTGTCTGTCTGTCTGTCTGTCTGTCTGTCTGTCTGTCTGTCTGTCTGTTACGCTTTCCCGCTTAAACGTCGCAACCGATTTTGATGAAATTTGGCATAGAGATAGTTTGAGTCCCGAGAAAGAACATAGGATAGTTTTTATCCCGGTTTTTGAAACAGGGACGCGCGCGATAAAGTTTTTCTGTGACACAAAAATCCACGCGGGTGAAGTCGCGGGCGGAAAGCTAGTAATATTATAAATGCGAAAGTTTGGATGTCTAGATGTCTGGCTCTGGATGTTTGTTACTCTTTCACGCAAAAACTGCTGAACGGATTTAATGAAACTTTACAGTATTATTGTTTATAACCCAGAATAACACATCCCATCAAAAACAATACTTGTCAAAAAAACCAAGTCTCGCAACTCAGTTGTTCTACGGTAAAAAGTTGTGAGATCCATGTAATACCAAGTCCATGCCAGGAAATCTTTAACGTTTTACATAAATATATTGACTTGGCCATCGCACTAAATAATTTAATTTACACGTGTTTTCATGCGATGGCCAAGTTGCGAGACTTGGTTTTTTTGACAAGTATTGTTTTTGATGGGATCTCATTTCTTTTTGTATTTTGTAGACAGCAGTTATGTATCTAGAAAACTGGACCGAAATTGAAAAATTTTACTCGACTTGGCGGTTGCACTACCGTGCCCCCAAATATTTTAGTTTTTCCTTGATTCATACACCAAACACTACTCATATTCTCCACACCGGCTACAAGCCCAACGTGTGCAAGTGAGTGCCCAGTGCCGGGCCCGGTGCGAGACTCAACCACAACAACATTAGACAACAACCACCTCTGCAACGTGTGCGGCAAGGCGCTCACCTCGCGCGAGCACCTCAAGTTCCACATCCGCATCCACACCGGCTACAAGCCCAACGTGTGCAAGTGAGTGCCCAGTGCCCAGTGCGAGACACAAACAGTGCGGCTAAATACGAGCCAGCCACATACGGCATAATGCTCACTAGCTAAATGCAATGATTAAAAGGTCGATTCGACTTTCGAATTGACAATCTATTCTGTCTCTTCCCGTCTTCTGTATTTGTCGTAATGTCTCGTTCTCCCGCCAAAATATGTCAAAGTCAAACCCTTAGGCTGGGTTGCACACTTGCACCATCTTACCTTAACTTTGACAAACGTCAAAAATCTGTCAAATTCCATACAAAGAGCACCGGTAATCGTCATAGTTACCGTTAAAGATAGGTGGTGTAATCCACCCCTACTATTCCAAATGACAATGACATTGGGTTTGTTTACATTTGGTATCGCTTCTCGTTGGCCGTACTTTAAGTATTTTTAATTTCGGTGAAGTGGATTTTTTTTTGACTGAGGTGTTATTTTGACAAACTTGACCGCTCTTTCCGCAGCCAACAAGTGTGAGGTAATAAGGGTTGATTCGAGTATCCCAACTAATAATATTATAAATGCGAAAGTAACTCTGTCTGTCTGTCTGTCTGTCTGTCTGTCTGTTACGCTTTCCCGCTTAAACCTCGCAACCGATTTTGATGAAATTTGGCATAGAGATAGTTTGAGTCCCGTGAAAGAACATAGGATAGTTTTTATCCCGGTTTTTGAAACAGGGACGCGCGCGATAAAGTTTTTCTGTGACAGACAAAATTCCACGCGGGCGAAACCGCGGGCGGAAAGCTAGTTTAAAATAATTAGAGTAACTTTCTCGTTGCAGGGTGTGCGGCAAAGGCTTCGTGAAGAAGTGTAACCTGACGCTGCACGAGCGCGTGCACTCGGGCGAGAAGCCGCACGTCTGCTCGCACTGCGGCAAGGCCTTCAGCCAGCGCTCCACGCTCGTCATCCACGAACGGTAGCTATCATAACGGTTGAAAAGCCGAAAACATTTCGTTAAAGTGTGCCCTCTCTCCTTCATGACCATCGGTCAAAAGAGAGATGCAGTTATGGCGTGAGAGAGCTGATCTTCCCTGCCCTTTTGTCCCATGTCTGAGAGTCCTCCGCCTGGACATGAGCTCCCCTGGCCTACATGGAAATCTTTAAATAGACTTCGGACGCATTTCGGCCGTAGTATCCAATCTGTTCAGGTGGGGATTCTTGGATGGCTTAAACTTGGGAGTGCAAGTGTGGTTTTGTTCGCCAGTCGACGAAGCACATGATGTCGTGTCCTGCGTGCCCAAACAACTGCACGTAGGAAGATTTAATGAAGGCTACTGACAACGCCACTCTTGTGGCGGAGATTTGAGCTGACGCTGTGTAGGTTTGTTGTCGACAGGACAAGAAGAAGTTAGCTATCGTTTCAGCCACAGGACATCCCCTGCTGAACGTAAGCCTCCCCAAATGATTTCCACATCAGTCGATTGGTAGTGGCATGCATTTAGTGCCCTCCTGCTACCTTAATGAGGTCGTCGGTCTACCTTATGGTCGAAGGTCTCACGCTGCGTTTTCCGATACTTGCTCCATTCTAGATCTTGTTGCCCCATCGGCCGTCAATTCTGCGTACTATGTGTCCTGCCCTTTGCCTCTTCAGCTTGCTAATTCTTCGGCCTATGTCAGTGACTTTAGATCGTTTACGAATCTGCTCATTTTTGATTCGATCTCGTAACGAAACACCGAGAATAGCCGCTATGTAACTTTTTTTAGCTTTCGAAACAGTAAATTGTCTTAAAGATGCAACTCACTGAGTCGAATCAAGAGTTACACGCGTATTCTGTCGCCCTCACTCCCAGTAGCAGCGTAGTGACGTGCCTTGTCAACACGGTGTTGTTGTGTACAAGGTGCATGACCTTAAGACCATCTGCATTTAGCCCCCGCCACGGTAATACTGTCTATACAGTATTCCAACTCGGTCATATTTTAATTACATACCCATTCTAATTACATCTGTCTACTTAGAATTTCGATCTAGTTTTGTGATTGTATTTTTTTTTATTTAGACAAACAAAATACTTTGTGAATGGAATAGAATAAAAATGCGTGTTGTTTTGTGTTTAGTAGATTTAATTTAAAAAAATGTACTAAAATAATTTTGAATCTACTAATCATAATGAGTACTTAATGATCTGTTACTTTAATTTCAGGCGGGCGAAGTCGTGGGCCAAAGCTGGTTTTATACAATATAATTTTCATTTCAAATCAAACTGACTGAAAATGACCATTTCTGACAGTTATTGACAAATTTGACCGTTTAAGACGGTCAGTCAAATTCAATCACCTTAGTCATTTTTAACACTAGACCTTCGACTACCGTTCGGCACATTCGTGACACTCCTAACTTTTGGATCTCGACCACGTCCCGAGATTTGAAATTCGAAGGAAAGCTCGTCGGTTTATATGAAGTTAAAATACTGTATGATATTATTACCGTGCCCCCGCTCCCCCCATGTGACCGGAGTACATGACGTGGCTTGTCCACTTGTCCAGGTACCACAGCGGCGCGCGGCCCTACGTGTGCGCGCTGTGCGGGCGCGGCTTCGTGGCCAAGGGACTGCTGTCCATGCACCTCAAGACCACCTGCATCTAGCCGCTTCTGCCTTCTACCGAGCCCAAGCGAACGCGCCCAGCCAGGTAAGCGCGTTGTTCATTTTACGCTCATCGTAAAATCCAAATAAATATAGATTCCAAAAACCTCTCCTCTTGCGACATCTACGGAATGAGCGGGCTAGACCTGTTCTATTCTGCCGGAACCACATAGGCAATACATTGATCCAGGTTCTACCTTTTTTCGCAGAACTTTTTAAATCACAATTTCACTATGCATAACAACGCATGCCATCATCTTTACGCAGAAAATCGTTAGGCATACATTCATTTGGCATACTTTCAAAACTAATAATTTTGTAAGGCATATTCCGAATAATTAAAAAGCAGAACCATCATGTCGCAGAAAGTTCATAGTCAGAATCGTCTTTTGGCATATTATTAAAAGGCAGAACTGCCATATATCAGAAGCAAGCAAGCATGCCTCGCCTCTTCGCGCCTACGCGGGCTTGAATTACACTCTAGGGATAGAGTAGACAAGACTACGTGGAATCGGTTTTGCAGCGATTGGTTTCTGTCAGTGATGTTTGTAACATAACATATTGAATTTTACAATATTATAATTCAATTTAAGGTTAAAAACTATTTGATAAAATTCTGCCATCTGCATAGTATGCCAATTGGAATGGTGCCAAATAATCGTGGTGCTAAATAAACATTATGCTAATCGAAATTATACCAAATAAAATTCTAAAAAGTATGCCATTAAAAAATCGGGTATATAAACATTCTGCCCATCGATAAATACTTAACAATGTTTATGCCTTATAAATATTCGGTTAAAGAAGATTATGCCAAGTGAGTTATGCCAAATGAATTTCTGCGTAACAAGATTCTGCCAGATAAGCCATCCATTTATCCAATTATTTAAATGCAAAATATTTACAATATATTTATATTGTTGCTGGCAGTTTCACCAGCAATCCTTTATGGCCGACTTATTATTAGTTTTTGTATATTTTTGTTGCTCTTTTGAAGTCTCAGTCACACCTTATTTGTACTCTTATTTTTCTCGTATTGACTTTATCTTGCTTCCATGTGTATTGTGTATTATTCGATGTGATTTTATATTTACTAAAAATTTTAATTATTATCGCAGATGTCATCACAAGCTTGGCAGCATGGACCGTTCACAGACTGAGTTAAAGATAAGTAAAATAAATGCGCATATGTTTTACTCACTAATAAATATACGTTTCGTATGGCTTTAGAAAATAGGTTCCGTTAGGCCCTTGGTCGCGGCAGGTCGAGATTTTTCGGTCCCTTTTTGGTTCTCTGTTGGATTCTTTGGAGTTACATTGTTGTAATCTAGACGTAAGTTTCCTTATTCGCATTCGCGCAATACAAATTAACAAATGCACAAACAGTATTAAAATAAAACCGTTTAAAAACCTCATTCAGACACTAGAATACGGATTATATTTTGGGCATTTGCCATTTTACTGTAAGTGCCAGCCAAAAAAATGGTACTTTAGTTAGTACTCCTTGTTTGGCGAAATGTTGATATGGTGTCGAAGTTGTAGGATAATAATAATTATGTTTATTAATGAGTATAACGTATGCGCGCCATAGAAGTATACGACACGAGCCTCACAAAGTGTTAAATGTGATAATTTTAAATAACCTGTTGATCTATCGGTGAGGATTTCCTATTAATTTCGGCACGTAAATGCAACTATGTAAATAAGCGATCGTGTAATATTGGGCAGCACACCCTGTAAGGTTAATCGTAAGCAATTTTTGTAATATTTAAGATATCGTTGTACGTATAACTTTAGTAAGTAATTTTTTGGTCTGTTAAGCTTGGTTATTTATTACATATATTTTTTATGTCTGTCTACATTTTTTTACCAATAAGACTCGTCATAGCTATATTTTGGCCAGTAGTGAAATTCAAGTTAGTTCCAAATAATTCGCAGGGTAAACCGTCATCACCGTTCTTCTCTTCTCATTGGCCAAAATGACACTGGTTTAGTTCCGTCTAGTTAAATAATGTCAATATCAAGTCAGTTAATTATCAATTTCAAGTAGATCTATTACATAACATTGTATATTTTTGGTTATCAAGTTAATAGCTAATATTTACATTTGTATATTTAAATATTTCAAGCTTATATTATTACATGAGTTGTTTAATTGTTTTTGTAGTAATACAATTCGTTGTAAAGTGCATTGGATACTGACTGGTCTAGATTCCTACTTTTACTAAACATTGTTAATTTAAGATATCTCCGCCCGTGAAATTTTGTCGTAACTCGTTACAAATCAGCATTTAGGCCCGTATTATTAACAACCAAAACTGTTTGTGACAGTTTTGTTTTAATAATTATGGTAATTATGTACTGGCTACTATCTAAATTCATGCTTGAATGCAGTTTCATATAATACGGGCCTAAAATCGGAAAAGTATGTATACTTATAAATGATTATATTGTGTAAATATGAGAATGAATGCGATCATGGTTAAAAATCCAACGCCAAGGAACGTCACATACTACACTCATTGTGTTCCTATTCTGTACACTCACGAAGTTAATATTACTTAAACATGATTACAACAGAAATCAACTTACAGTTTACACAGTTTGGCATATGGCAGTAACTTTGCAGCATTTCGTGAGGTATGTTCAGATTCGGGACACAAGTGTTTGAGATGAGACAAAGATTTTTATGTATTTTTGTGTTGGTCCTAATGATTTTATGTACCTAAACTATCAATGTGATGCAGTATTGGAGATCTTATGTCGATTATTTAAAAGTCCAATTCAGGTATTAGTATTTAATTCATGTTCTATGTTGTTTGAATATTTTGTTACGTGTAGCGCGCTCTGTGTACTACTTACCTTTAATGTTATTTTTATGAGGTGTACTGACGGCACTGCTTAGAATTGTTATTGGCCGACAAATACATACAGAATGCTGAAAAATTACTTTAAAGTAAACTGTAAAAGCAATCAAAATAATATTTAAGATTTGACATGATATGATGGATGAATGATACTTATGAAAGTTATAAAAGCAGCTTGACTATTAGAAAGACATAATAAGTTGATATAAAAATTTAATAATTAATTTAATGCACATTATTATTTAAAATGTTATTATAATAAAATGCATAAACAAAAAACTCGTATTCGAGTTGTCTATACAATTATACATACATACCTAGTAGGAAACTCAAAACTATTGAATGTGGATGTTTAAATATCGATGTAGACTCTTGTTTCACTTTTAAGATTTATTTTTTTAGTTTTAATTGTAGAATTTGTTAACAAAAGATCTACACGAACGCGCTACACAGGGTGTTCACAAGTGCCTCAGATGTGATACGTTAAATTAAGCGTGTAGTCACTCATTAGTTAATAAACATTACTACCCAGATAATATTTTTTTTTCATTTCTTGACTTGCCTTTAAAAGACTTGCAACGGGAGCTTTCGTTGTGCGGATGTTTATTGTCTATTCTTTTGGGGACGTATCTCAAATTTAATACGTAGGTGCATAGAGTAAAATCAGAGTAAATACAAATGAGTAGGTCATCTTCATAGAAACGCACCGAGCGCGGTTTGTATGTGAGCGTGCGTACTCTCGTTTGTATTTACTCTGGTTTCTATGAAGATGAGCTACTCATTTGTATTTACTCTGGTAAAACTTGGATTGGCGACAAGTACCTTTTTTAATTCGAGTGAGAAGTGAGTTAGTAATGGTACCGGCGCATCGATAATTAGCAAAATATGAGGGTAGACCGAATATTATGTTTGTCAACAAAAAACACCCGCATTCGTTTCACTTCAGTTGATCGGTTTTTCTGCAGTGTAGTCAATTCACAAATACGTAAGTCATAGTAGGTAGTTCCAGTTTTGATAAATGATATTAATTAATGGGGAAAAAGTGGAGGATGTTTTAATGGAGTCCCGACGACATCCAGAGAGAGCAGCGTTGACGAACGGGTAGCTTAAAAAGGTGAGCGTTTAAGTTAATTACATAACTGTAAGCTTCCATTTCTATAGATAGAGATTTATAACGGATGCTATGGTAAGTTAGAAATTTAACGATAGGTCACGTACAATTTCTATTAAAGAAATAGGCTAAGTTAATCAGTAGCCAGACGCTAGTAAACTGTTGCCACCGCTCTCTCCGCAGACAGTCTCGGAAAGGCAAACTAGGTCACCACTAGAACAAGTTTAGGAATCCAGTTTCCCAGGAAGAAAATCACAGAAAAGTTACTATTACTACTTGTGTGCTTGTAATATACGAGATAAGAACACCTCCGAACCTCGCACATTGATGATCATGATTCGGACGCACCAGCGCCACTAAGACAGGAGTCGAAGTGGTCGCCATGGCCGTAATCGGACGGATGAATCATCATCAAGAACACCATTTGCTCGATGGACTGGCATCAATTTGTTGAATAGTACTTCAACGATTTGAAGGAGTGAGTAGACAATCTACTGTTCATCTGCTGCAAGCTTCCGAAGATCCTGGGTCGTCGCGCGGGTGTGTCAAGGACTCTCAGGACACCCAGCCTCCAGCCTCCTCGATGACGCTCGGCGCCGCCTGCCGCGAGCCCTCGCGGTCTGTTTATCGCGCCGCTATCAGTCACTGGGAGGGACGGCCGCGGCCAGTTCCGACCCGGCCTCCGACTCGAGCGCTCGCGTCGCGTTGCCAACATTCCCGACACTTGCCGCGTTGTGCGTACACGCAGAATCACAGGACTCGCATGTGAGTATCTCCTCACCGCCTGCACCCCAACACGAGTGCAATTTAAATTGCTCTACATCAGTCAATAGCCTTCTCGGGCATGATTGCTCGGCGGACCACTTAACTAATATATTTTCGGCATGTATGACGGCCGACAAGACGTAAAAATGTTTTTCACTAAAAATAAATACATTCACTATATTTGATTTATGTTACATACATAAATACGTTTTAAATCGTTTAATTAACTACGAAGTTATTACGATTAAAAATAGATGACATTCTTGTTTCGCAAAATAAACATGTTAATGCAAAGTAATAAAATATTGATGAGACACTAATATTAATAGTTCGTACATAATCAAAACTTGTACTTATTTACGCACTCCAAATACTCCAATGCTAAATTAATAGTTAATTACATCGTTTAAATAAACATATTACTAAATTATTAATTAAACAATATCTTATCAAATCTAGAATTTTAATATCTTAATGATAGATTTTAAAATATTTTATTCAAATAATTACCAACCGAATTGAAAAACATTACATTTCTGACGAGAATGTATTTAGCCGCGCCGTTTAATGCCTTAAAAGCTTATTTCTTTCTCAAGCAAAGTAAATATGTGTTTTTAATTACATAGGCCCCCTTAATTGTATTATATTTCGCGTTATCGTTATCCGATAGAAATTCGGCAGCGTCAACAGATAGGAGAGGCGAGTTGCTCGTAAATAGATCCCAAAGTGCGTAGGGCGCACATGATTGATCACAAAATGCGAGACAGTTTGGAAGAACAATTTCAACTCAGTATCAGTCTGGGTAAATGTCCATAAGAATGATAAATTTTATTTATTCCTGTAATCAATAATTCAATGTACATAATTAATGAGTAAAGGCGTGTCTGTTACTAAACAAACACAGCGTGCTACTGTGGTGTTTTGTCGGTACGATTTATGTATTTGTCGCCCACTGGTTTTATTCTTATAACATTCGCTTTCGTACCTATTTTTATTTCTCGATGAGTTCTGATTCTATCAATTGAAGGATGGCGCTAAATTTACGAGATGCTGTATGAATTGGTTATGTCATGGAACGGAGGCGCCTCGTACTATTGAGGAGTTATAAATAAAGCGTGTGCTAGGTCTTGAATGGGAGCCACATCCCGCAGTAAATATTCATCAGCGCGAGGTCCGAGAGACGTGGATTACATAACGTTTCTCGATAAACCTGATTAATGTCCGATGCAACTGCATTCGTGTCTTAGAGTCAGAACGAGTCGTTTTAAATATCGAGTGTCCGAGAATAGCAATTTATTTAAACGAATTCTATTAGTGCCCGCGCACAGTCTGCGAAGGCGCTTGACTTCTGCCGGCTCCATCCATCATAATCGCGAGCGGGTTGGAGTTGTCAATTGAGTACATTCCAGCTCGTCTCAATTTACAGCCGCTTCGGCGGGTCCGCTTTGGTTTCTAGATGTCTCTATGCAAGTACAATCAACAACCGCTTGCAGATTTTCTTCTTCTTCTTTGCCTGGCCCATTCCCTTTTTATTTGGGGTTGGCCCTCCATGACATGCGTCTCTAGACTCTATAGGCGGCTCGGTTCTGGGTCGTCTCTTTGTTGACTTGGGCCTCTTTGAGTTCCTTGCAGTTTATAGCTGAAAAAAAAAACACCATCTTTCTTCCACCCTACCCAATTATTCTGTTTCCCTTTTATGGCAGTATTAAGTAATTAAATTTATAGCAATGGATGATAATTTCTGATATTTATTTACTGCCTTTCGATATCTAATTATTATCTCCATTATTTTTCAGATTATGGCACACTGCCTTATGGACGATTTGCTTATTAATCAGATACTTATACTGATATTCCTCCTGATCTAAATAACGCAGGAAAATGTGCTCCAACATATGTTGGTGTACCTACAATCTTTCTACGCTTTATCAGCAGCGTGACTCTACTTATTTAAGTTTGACGAGTGTAAACATTGTTGACATTTAGGTAGTCAAACATCCATCTGATTCAAGGTCTCTTTGTTTTCTCATTTTCTACTTTTAGACTGCAATTGGTACTTAATGATAGATCTGTCGCGTTTCAAGTATGCAATTTCATGGTAGAGCTGCCGTTCCCGAGTGCACATCCGCCGCTCGTTAGCTTTCCCCACGCGCAGGGGGCGCGCAGGACGTCGCGGCGTCCGGCGGCTCTATGATTGCGCTCGTTCACTTTAATTGACTGCTGTTGTAACCGACTTTAATTAAGATTAAAAATGACGCACTTTGGTGATTTATCTTTGAATTCTACGAACAACAATATAAGTAATGGCGATAAATGAACTGTTTAAAATGTTGTTAGTGAGATTACACAAATGGTTATTATTTTGTTGTAAATATTATGCTACTGTTTGGTTCCAAATATCGGCATATCTCGCTCGACATCCTTATTTACAGAAAATCGTGCAAGTAAGATTTTCATCCACAGATTACCCTTGGAACTCTTGGTGAAGAAAATTTGTTGGAAAACTTGTGGACTATCAAAAGTTTATAAACAAATTAGTTTCTTGTCTTCTTCAGAGCTGGGTCGCTGTATCAAATCTAACTTTTTCTCTCATAAGTGTCCTCAAGTTCCAATTTATGGCACGGTAGAGCAATCAGAAATTTCCTTAAATCAGTCGATGGCAAGGTCAAGTTCGAGAGGTCGCATGTGTTTGTAGCTTTGTTTCCCGCGTTAGATAATGCTTTTGCGTCACCGGCGATGGCAAACACACTTTTTGTTGTTTTGCAGCATTCGACGTCGCAAAAAGTGTAGTCTTATAGACCAATACAATTTCCGGCTGAGCATCATTAATAAATTGCAAATGGCAATCATACCAAAATATCGCTTTATTACTTGTGACATTCGTTCAGCCTGTAGTGTACAATCTGCCTTAAAGAAACTGAATACGCAATAGAGCTATATATTTTGACTTTCAAATTCTTTATTGTGATGTACAAGTACCTATAATAGCCGAAGTAAATGCGACTTTGAGCCGCCATGGTCGTCTGGCATTGCTCGTCTGCCTGTAATCTCTACGCCAAGCAATGGCTGACTCAAGCTAGTCTAGTAATATCCTAATCATGCTGGTTTAATTCTCGCACACGTTTAATTAATTGAGGAATACAAATGGAGTTCAAACTCATCAATGTGGATCAAACACGTCGCTCTATCTTTGCTCGCGGGTGACGTGTGACGCGTGACGTCACGTGTTTATACCTCGGCTAGGGCGGGAGCCGGGCGACAGCCTTGTCAATCAAGTAACAAAACGTTCCTGTGTGTACTGATCTTATGATAAAAATCATTATGGAACTTTGGGCATTTTATTGATTTGATTTCGTTTACGTATCTATTTTCTTTATCAGAAATGCTGACTTGAAATGAGTAAACATAATTTTGGAATACCTTAGCAACTTTAATAATACAAAGCGTTGCATTGACAATGTATGAATTCAATTTGTATCGTAACTCTTCGATCAGTTTTGATTGTAGCCAAATCAAGATATGTACAGACTAGATAAATGAATTTGGCATTGATATACTGGTAGTAAGTAGATTGATGAATTAAATTCGAACCAGGTTGTTATGTGCTTTTCACTTTGCATATAAAGTATTTTCTGCGCATGCATTTAAGTACTAAACTTTGAACTTTGACAGTTTGTAATGAAATGGGTAGGTACCTGGTAACTATTGAGTACCTGTACCCAATAACTAATGAGATTTGAATCCCACTATTAATGGGACCAGCTCCTAGGCTAAATTAGTCCAGGAGTGGGCGGCGGCGCTGTGTGCCTTGAGGGTGTGTGGCGTGGGCAAACACGACCGCACCGTTGCGTTACTTACCCGCATTGCCTCCGTGCACATACGGGGTGTTGTTTAGCACAGTGATTTAAAAAACAGAATTTAAAATACACTTGAAACTTTCATTTGCCTAGAACATCAAAATACTCAAAGGCGCGGGCGTTCGCGGCTGTTCCTAATTTGTGTGAAACTCAAACAATATTATTGTACCGAGTTAATGAAGCAAATCTGTCACATTGTCAATACCTTATCTTCACGAGGGTGATAAGAGGCGACCCCTCGCCTCGTGGGAACACTCTGGTTCCTTCTCGACCATTCTAGATAATGTCCTCGGTCGCAGTGGACAGAAACAGATCGACAATTAAGATTGTGTCTACAGATTAATTGTTGTTTGTGGTAGCGCGCAGAGCACGTGAGTAGTATCTTTTGAATGCACATTATATTTTAATAGCTCATGTAAACGTACTCGTGCTACTTCAAGAGTTACATAAGGTATCGTTATCATCATTATAATAACATAAAAATACCTTCACTTTAACGACTCCTTCTTCACTAGTAAAGGTTTCATTGAAGGCCAAACTGTAGTAGATTTCTAACTATAGTCATTGCAGTGGTAGATTAGTCATGTTGTCATAAGCACAATCATCATGATCAATGATTATAACGTAATAGCACCCCCTTTTAGTGTGCGTAAGCGCAGATGCGGCATACAGCTTTGTACTGTTTGAGGTTGCTTGACCGCTTTCCTTTCTGGGTTGCCACTTCACCAGACCAGTAAGTACGTCAATACGTACAAAATACAAATTCAAAATATTTATTTCCATAACTAAAACACCGTTTGATAAATAGGCACTCCCAGATAGCTTTTATGCACCGCTAGCCCCTACACCATGCACGCAATGTAGCTACATATTCAATCAAAGTGATTCACACAGTTTTCGTTAGTGCTAAAGACACTATACCTACCTAGTTAGTTAGTAGTTGGTTTATACTTTATACTTACGTAGACAGTAGAAACACATCTAGCTATTTAGGAAAGCAATTTAGGATGAATCCGTACGACATCTTGGAAGTTGGGATCTCTTTAAATTAGCTCTACTCTGTGTTTCTTTGTATTTGTTGCTGCTCAGTGAATATTAAAGTTTGGGTAAACAGCCCAAATTGTGGACTTATATCTTTGAAAT